ATACCATTAAAAACGTGATAATAAACATAATTACTTTGAAATTAAGTTCATTTTTAATGATTTAACAATTATAGAATTTAAAAAAAATTAGTCAAATTAATATTATTTTAAAACCCTAGAAAATAAAAAAATTAATTTGTATTTAAATGTTTTTTTAAAAATTAATGGTTTATTTTGAAATAGATAAAAAAATTTAGTTGAAATATAATAATATTCTGGAACAATAAATTGATGAATGTTTCTTAATAAAGAAATGAAATACTTCCTCGAAAGAAAATGTTAGAAAAAAAAAAATTATATGCATTTTTGAAAACGCTGTTCAGAATGAAATTCCACTTCATTTATCAGAATTGCTGTAAAAACAAATACTCTCTAGCATAGTTAAAAAAAAAAAAAAGTTTAGAAATTCCTTATAAATTATTTTATTTTTTATTGATCTTTCTAGTTCTCATGTTGAGGTCATAATGTCAGTTCATGTGTAAGATAAATACCTACAAGAAAAATAAAACCAATGAAATGAAATAATTTCAAACCACGTTGATTCATTTCGACACGCCTTTTTGACATTCTTTACGGTCACAGTTACCGCTGTAATTATGCATTATTCATGACAAACCCGATCACATTGAAATGCATATTATTTCCATATTCACTACCTCGACTGGTATAATACAAGGAGTTATAATTTTGGAATTTGCACGATCAAGTTCATAAATAATGCCTCAATGATGGGCGACTACATAATAAAGGTCGGGTTTTCTAAACTGTAATGGCTGTTGAGAATATCATTAACTATTAATTCAAAATGCCGTTGATCCAATAAACAATGAGCTTTTATAATGAAATTATGTAAGTTTAAGTTTTAATTGTTTCAACCCCATATTTATAATTTTTTATGATACATGATGGTGTATACAATAATAGAACAAACGAGTAAAGTGTACAATTTATTTTGATAACCCTTATTACATAAATTCAAGAAAAAACAAAACTTAATTTTTGACTAAGAACCTAGTGCCTTATAGCGTAACTTAAAGTTACTGATCGCCTTAGCCAAGTATATCGAGATTTATGAAAGTTACAGCGCTTTTTCAAAAAGTGTGGCATGGATAACGTATGAGCACACCCAGAGTGTTAAAAAATATGATAAAGCGTACAGTTAAAAATTGTTTATTGTCGCTAAACTTAATAATAGTATAGTGTAGTGTTGTTAAAAGTAAACTAAATTAAACTGAAGCTCAAATATTATAGTTTAAACAGTAGCATACTAAAAAATAAGCACACTAGGGACGCGGCATAATTGAGATGGCGGCAAGTATAGATTACATAATAGTGTTAAAAATCAGTTATAAAAAACACACTTTGAAGCAAATCTGTAGTTAGTGTTTAAGTTTTAGAAGGAATTGTTTGGTTTTACAAAAGCTAATCAACTCATATTTCTTTAATTACATACTGATTACAAGTTTTATGATTTATAAGTAAAATACAGAACTCAATAATTACTGTAGAAATTAAATTTAGTATAAGATGATGTTCAATATTTTGTATTGTTTTTTTCACGGAGAAATTATAAAAATGTTAAATAATAGCTGTATATTTCGTTATCTTTATGGTAAATTTGTGTTAAAATTGCAAATATGGGTTTCTGAAATAAAAAAAAATAAAAAAAAAAGAAAGTTAAGTTTTTCTGTAAAAGTAGCTATTTTAAAACCCCTTCTGTGGACAGGTAAAGAGTTGGATTTCAAAGAAACATAAAAAAAAAAAGAAAATATTTCTAAAAATATCACAAAAACTAGTTTTGTTTCATTTATTCTTAAAAAAGTTATGACAGTTCTTAGTAAAAAAAAGTTTAGAAAATAGCGAAATTTACCAATTTTAAAAATGCTCTATACCACTAGATACGATTTGTGATTTATTGACGTATTGTAGAAAAAAGTCGGTCCAATGAAACCCGAGAAAAAATAGTGAAAGACACAAAAAAAATATTTATGCAAATACATTATGGTAAAATTAATACCTTCTCAACTTCGCATCGAAGTAAAATAAATTGTTTTTTCTGCATTACTTAGTAGAGAACATAAAATAGAAGTATAAATATAAATAAATGCAATGAAAAAGGTCTACTCATAAAGACTCGGTTAGTGTCACTTGGGAATTTCAACTGGACTCGCACGTGTAGACCAAATATAAAACATAAGAGTGAAAAAATTGACTTTCACAAGTAAGATGAATTCATTTTACATAAGTTCGGAAATTCGATTGGATGTTTTTGACATATATTTGGTTTTAAAATAACAAGTGGACTGATTTACATTAAATATTATTTGAAGTGCGTTTTGTTGAATGGGAAGTTTTCATTGTGTTGATGGAATGCTCTACAATATAAAAGTAATGACCAACTTACGGTGGTGCGCAAAAAGAGATTTTCGAAAACTCGCACAGAAAATGATGTATTTTGTAAAGGTATAATTGAAAATGGGACGTGTTAACGACATTAAAAACCGAGGCTGTTACGGTTATCAGTATTTTCACCTTTACAGTATTTACCTACTTTAATTGTCATGAACCTTTTTCGCGAGTGCTGTGAAATTTTATAGTGTTTAAGTTAATTACAATGGCGCTCTTCGAACCAGACAAATTATGACTGTTAAATTTTTCTATTTACACCAGCTACAATATTTACAGTCAAATATTTTTTTTGACTATTGTGCGAGGTTAATCTTTATTTTGGAAATAACAATTTTTAGTAAAACGTAATATATTATTATAATAATATATCTTAATGAATTATAAATATTATGCAACTGAAAGTTTTTTTACTACTTTTTACGTACTTCAAGAGTTGATTTATAATAATCGATTAAAAAAAATTTTTAATTATACTTATTATATATTTTGTTTAAATATATTGTTGAAAAAATGTAAGAGTAAAACCTTTCTTTGAAAAAAGTCACACTCGAAGCATATAAAATTATTAGTTTCTTAGAAATAAGCTGTAAGACCTATTTATTACATTTAGCTCATCAAAATAAAAAAAAGCTATTGACTCTATTCAAAAGTTTATTTGAATACATAAATATGTTTACTCATAAGGTACGGTAACGTATAGTCATTAATTGTATTTTTTACTCAAAAAAATTAATTAATTTCATTAATATTAAAAACAATAAATTTAAAATTATGAAAAAATACGAATATATTTAATTTTTTTGTAATGATTCTAATAACTAATTTAGTACAAGTTAATGTTAATGTTAAATAATTTTTTGGGTTGTTGATATTACATTTAATAATTATTATTTTTAAATTTAAAAATGTGGAAAATACATTGATTGAATTTTACCTTAAGTTTATTCAATGTGTTTTATATTAACTTTACTCATAATAAAAAATTCATTGAATAAATTTATTATTTATTAAAATAATAAAGTAAAAAAAACAAAATTATTGTGATATAATATTAAACATTTCAATTTGTATGTTTTTGTTGTCTTCACCAACGACCATCAAAGTTGAAATATTTTTTGGTTTGCGATTATAAAAATTCGTATTACTTTTAAACAATGCAACTTATGATAAATAATATTGAACTGCGAAAATATACAATTATATAATATATATATTATATAATACATATTATGTAATAATTGTAAATCTGACTTTTCATAACTTTTACATAAAATACTACAAAACCTGACATCATAAAGGATAATCTGATACAAGACCCTCTTAAAGCTGTTAGCATTCTAGAATTAGCTTTAAGAGTATAAAATCTCAAATGTAATACAGCATATAATGTACAAAAACTTGGCTAAGCATAAATAAAAGATAGTTATAATATGAATAAAAATTCAATTTTAAACCTTTTTTTTTTATTTTTGATTGATTTAACATACTGATGATTGTAAATGAAAATTTTCTTGATAATTATTCAATATATTATTGAAAATAATGTACGATAAAATACTATTCAGTCAAAATAAATATTTTACATTATATGCAAATCCATAATAAATTAAGTATCTCATATTTCTCAGCTAAAATTGATAAAATTTACATTTAAAAAAATAAGCAGGCAAATTTTTATGTAAAAATACATTTTCAATAATATTTTTTTGAATAAATACGGAAAAATATTAATATATGTTAATACATAACATTTTTAACCTACAATATTAAGCGTTTTAATAATAATTAAGAATCAAATTCAGTTTATTCCCTAATAAGTTTCACTCACTATTAATTTAATGCAAATTAAATCTTGAATTTTAAGTTATAATACAGTTTTTGATATAAATATGTAAGAGCCAGTTATGCGATATATGCATGAGCAAATGTTAAAAGTTTTGAAGTGTTCATATAACAACTGAAATTGGATATTTCATGAAAATTTAGTAATTTAATCGTGAAAAGTGGTTCTATATATCGTACTTTTCTTTTGTAAAACTTAAACTTACGTATATTAATATACATAAATATATAATAAATATATATAATACTTATGTGTATACTTTTAACATATGTATAATGAAACCACAAGAACATTATGATCATATCGTACTTACCAAAAATGTATTTAAGATTTTCAGAAGAATAAAATCATAGGATTGTTTATTTAAGAATAAAAAATTCTATCAACCCCAATAAACATTATCACCGTATAGTCTAATCAATCATTAAAAATTCTTTGTGAAACATTTAATTTATGCTTAAATTTATAATTTAAAATAAAGTTAACTTAATGCTAGTAATTTGCTGTATACCCAGAAACTTAATCATTTCATAACGCAATAAGTCTGTTGTTTTAATAAAGAATTTTTTTTGGCTTATTCATTTATCAATTTTTTAAATTATATATGTTTTTTCAATAACCGATCAAATAGAAGAAAAACTTTAGAGTAATATTTATGCTTTTTAGAATAGTTTCCAGTGAAAAAATCTCGTGAGACAAAAAGTTTGAACTGATTTAAGTATAATGCATGTTATATATGTGTACTCACCTTGAACTAGAGTCTTGTGAATAAAATACTGAAGGAACATTCATTAAACTTCGTAGAATGTCGGACATCTTCGAATATAAATATCCCATGGTTAAAAGAGGAATCAGATACCTGAAAAAAAACAAGCGTTGAAATAAAATTTTAATCTTTTTAAGTGCTCTTGAATTTTCAGAGTGAAATCTTATTTTTTATGTAAATTTTATCATTTAACTTACTTTAATGTATATATATTTTAGATTAAAATTTTAGAATAGAAAAAAAACTTGTTTTTTTTATTTATTTTTATTATATTCAAGTCGAGTTTAAAAACAATATCATGTAATATGCCTACTAATTTTTTTATACATGATTAAGTTTTAACAAAAATTTTCTGAGGTTAAAGTTTGTCTTCGACAAATCATCCCTCAATTTATTGATGTCATTTGATAAACAAAAACATTATATTTGACACACTTTACAGAGATTTTCAGGCCAACGCTTATATTTTTTTATACTATTATCATTTTGTAGATATTTTTTAAAAATTAATTATTAACTTCTTCAATTATGTTTAAAGCATATTTTATATAATTCATAATTAACTATTCAATCACTAATAAGAAAGAAAATTATTTATTTTTTAATTTTAAAATTGACATTAGAAACTTGATGTGTCAATAATAATTTTAGGACAAGTACTCATTGAATTACAAGCATTGTAATACATGAGTGGGTGTGTAGTGAGAGTGAGTGTAACTTCTCCGGTGTTCCATAGCTACTCTATGTATATAAACACTTAAAACTCAATGAATACTTGTCCTAAAAATGTTATTGACCTATAAAATTTTCTTGTAAAAAGGGCAATTATTTAATTTTAAAATCGTAGTCAAAGAAAGAAATAGTTATAAAACAAACAAATTTTCAACAAAATGATAATTGTATCAAAATTTAAAAACTATGACAGTTAGATTTGGTACATTTGTCAATTTGAAACTTATTGAAATGAATGAGTGGTATATAAAAACGTTGTGCATATATAATTTTCACACAGCAAATTTTAAATAATAAATGTTTTTTAATAATTATGTGTAGCCTAATTTCATTTTTATTATATAAATGGAGTATTTGTGATGACACCTAATTGTATTAATTCATATTGTGGTGGATATGACATTGATGAAATAAATGTTTATTTCTTTAATTAAAATTTTCATTTTATTTCAACTATCTCAGTATACTATTTTTTTTTGAGGTGATCATATTTTTAAATTAATTTCCAGAAATTATAAAATATTATTAATGGGTATTCTTCATACAATTTTTATCAAACTTATTCCACTATTTTGTATAACAGACAGTTTAATTTGTCGAAAAATTAGTAACTAATAAATTTTTTTATGGATTGTTATTCTTATAAAATAAAAATTAATCACTTGTAGCTAATATTATTTAATATTAAAATGTTTAACTTAAACCACAAAAAAAAAAATTACTAAAAATATTAGAGATACGTATTTCGGTAACAATGTTACCACTATCAACGCTAAACTCATACTGACTCCCTGACCGAAAAAAAACTCCTTTTATACTCCTAGGAACGTTATCACCTAGTGAAATTATGACCTAGAGACGTTATCACTTAGTGACAGTATCACTAAGTAATATTATCACATTTTGCCAATTTACACAAGTTTAATAATGAATTTTTCAATTGGCCAACATCATTAATCATTAAATTGTTCTTATTTTTACATATCTGTTGTCTCATTCTATTGCCTTATATTATGTTCTTTGTAATTATTTACGTTTTTAATTAATTTTATGGTTTTAACGGAGTGATTATGTGTCAATAAATGTTCAACCACGGGAAATTGAACAACTTCTTGATTTTCAATGTTTCTTAAGTGTTCTTTTAATCTGACCCCTATATTTCTTTTTATTTGTTCTGGGTAACATATATTGAAACTTTCCCATTGTATTTTATAAATGCCCAATCTTCACCGTTCTTCTACTATATCATTAGAGTTCCTTAATTAAACTCTTAAATTATTTCTTTTAGTTTGTTATTCTTATTTAATCGTAATTAGTTAAAAATTATTAAATGGATTTTTTATTTGTGATTTTTATTTAAACACCTTTACTCGCATTGGTTATATATGTATAAAAAAAATCCACATGCTTCACGTAAGAATTCTACCGTAAGAGTAACAAAGTTATAATTTGTGAATCGAGTATGAAGAATCAATACTATTAAATTGATAGTATTAATGCCCAACAATAATTTCTTGATTATTTTATCGTGCGAAATACGTTCAAATAATTAAAAATTATATCATTATGTTAAAGCAAAGATATATTATATAAATAAAAATATATATAAACGAATAGGTTATGCAAAACAAAAAAAAATTAAATTTTTTTTTTTTACATTTCTTGTTTACTAGATGATAGTACTATATCGATCTGATTCTAGTTTTCTGCGTAGGTATTAACAGGATGCCTTGGCCGTTTACCCTTAGAGGAAATTGTTGTTGTCATTTCGTTGGTTTCAAAAGCGAATAATATATCAACCAAATTTAATATATTTTTTAATATAAAAATAGTGATCTTTTATTTTTTATTGATATTTAATAGCTGATATAATACAATATAAGAACAAAAAAAAATCTCATTATTTACATTACTCAAAAAATTATTAAATTGGATTATGTTCCATTTTAAATTAAAGCTTTAACTGTATTATATGAATTATTTATGTAATTCATTGTTGTATTCGTTATAGTTTTATTATTGCTTATTAAAAATGTTATGTTTTACAGAATTGATTTTGATTTCTTTATATTACAAAATAATTTTTATTAAAATAACGGAATTTTGAAAAGTCATTTTATATGAATTCGCAGGAAAAAATTATGATTAAAAATATTATTAATTTTTTTATAATTGTTTTTGAAATATAGGAATATGGGTTTTTAATTGGATAAGTCACAAAAATGGGTTTTAAGATAATTAATAATACATAAGGTAATTCTGTTATTCTGTAATTCTATTAAGGTACTTAATGATTTATATTATTTTAATAATAGCTGACAGATAATAATACTTATTATCTATCAAAATTAGAGTCAGGAAGGATATGCACTTAAAAAGTTTAAAATAATATGTAGTTTTGTAAAAAAACCTTGAAATGTGTATTGAAATACATAAAATCTTTATTTTTGGCTTCAATAACTAAATCATATTTTTAGAAAGTTAATGTTAACTAAATATTTATACAATAATTAATGCGGCGATAAATGTTTTTCAATAATATGAAACCTTTAAAATTCTATATCTAAATAACTATAATATTATACAGTTGTGTTTGGAAAGAATGTGTTCCTTGAGATTTATTTTTTTTCATAGAATGCATTCATGTATGCACTTACTTTATTTTTAAGGACAGTTAAATGCAAATGCATTAAATTTTAATGGAATGTAAATGTTACATGTTATAAAGTTATAAAGTTATAAAACCAAATACAGCATTAAAAGTTTTTCCAAAGGGAACAGAAAAGGACATTTAAATTTTCTCGAGGGACATGTACAATAATTTTTATTTTGAAAATAAAAAAAAAATGAATTATGAATTTAAATTTATCAGTGAAATAATTTAAGATTAAAATTATATTAAAAATATATAACTCGAAAACCCACAAAAAAAAACTACTAAAAAATCGCAGATATGTAGTTCGGGAATAATGTTATCATTATCAACGATAAAAACATACATATTTGGTATCTTTTTGAATCAAATATTTTAAATATTTTTTTGTTTTCAATTAATAATTTTAATTTTAAGTAATATTAGACGATCAATTTTTGTTATACAATGAAATAATATTAAATATAAAATAAAATAAAACTCTGAAACAGGAAATGGAGTACATTATTTTTTCAAAATGAATTTTCCAAACTCTGTGTAGTGTGTACATGAATACAAGGTATATTATGGATGTACGAAAAAAAATTACTTTAAATATGTTACACTCGATACGTTAAAGAAAACCGTTTATTAAAAAATATTCTATTCCAGTTTCACCATGATAGTTTTATATTTATTACATGAGAAAATACCTTTTAAGTAGGAAATACATGTTTTCATTTTCTACGAGTTATTTGTTATAAAATGGAAAAAAAATATATATATATTATTTATATTAATATAGTAGTTAAAATATCAAGTAACCCGTTTATTATACTCAAGTGAATATTTTACAAAATGAAAATAATTTCATGAATTTTTTTTGGACATTTTTAGTATTACTTTTTTTTCAATTATTAAGTACTTTTTAAATCCATTCAAATATTTTATAATTTTTACAACTTCATTTATTAGATAAAAACATACACATTTAATTCGTTTAAAAAATAGGAAAAGTTCTAATTACTAAACTCATCTCTTATCCATCTAATGAAGTCACCCATGACCGATTTTAAACACGAGGCAGTGCACATTAGGCATTGTTAACGACTAGATCATATTATCACTCGGAAGTTATTACAATTTTAAAATGTGGAGTGGGCGAGGGACCTGATGCAACTATTTTTATACTTTTTCGGAATAAGAATGAAAAATGTCTAATAATATGATAATACCGTTATAGGATTAAAAAAATTAGCAGCCAAAATTTATAAAATAAATTATCTAGTTTTTTTCATAGAATACAACGACAGGACACATAGAGGCAGAAGTTATAATAATACTTTTAGTTTAAATACTCTAATAGTTACATTTTTCTTAAACTAAATGTAACATAAAAAATTAGATAATATCGTACAAATTTTTGTTTTCAGTTGATACATTCCTCTGATCCTAAAGCGGTGATATAAGTAGTAACAGACACATAGTATTACTGGCAATTGTACACATAAATTTAATACGGTCACACAATTTCCAATTTTGAATAAGATTATAAATGGCATGGGCTGTTATTTTAGCAGTTATTTCAACAGCAGTAGAACACCTAAAAATTTCATGCATCAGTTTCAGAAAGTAATACAGCCAATCTGTCAATGTTTTTATTTCCTGTTAATACAGACAACATATTATTATGTCACTGAATAACCAATGGGACCGTTGGATCCATCGT